AGCCCCGCCTGTGATGCTGTTAGAGCGCACGCCGAGTGCGAGTCCAGTAGACGCTCGAGCAATCGGATGGGTGTACGATGAAGGGCTTGTGGAGAGGGCCCTGTCCTGATCCGTCCCCGCATGTGCCATGCACGCCTGCGTAGAATGAGACCCGCCAGCTTCCTCAAAACAACACTCACAAGTCTACCTCCAATTTATGCTGAAATTAGAAGAAGGAGAATCTCAGTTACCGTCCAACCTTTTTTTTTAAGGTCGGTCATGGACCATAGTATCTAACAGAAGGAGTGGGGATCCAACTTCATCTCAGGGGGTACACAGAGTAGACAATTTTATGGGGGTAGGGGTACGAAGGGTATACCTCCTGACCGACCCACATCCTATCAACAAGTCAACGCCAATGATATGGGGATGGAGTGTAGACGCATCGTAGAACGCGTTTGTTTTCGTTTGAAGTTGGCGTCTTGTTTGAGAGTAGATGTGACAGATTTGCGTAGAATAGGGTAAGATGTTATCATGAACGGAGAAGAAGGGCTTTTCTAACACGGAGATGTAGCATGGATCAGAGCATTTGTTGGATTTCAGCTTTTACAAGCGGACATCAACGCAGTAGTATTTTAGCAAGCTTACGAACGCATGTAGGATACCATGAGGATTGTCATTGGTTTTACTTCAAATTGAAGAGGAGATATTTTTACGATGTAAGTGACAGAAGAAATATGTCCTACATATGTTGTTGTTCTTCATGTTGGTTTAATATTCATGTAGAGTTTTCTGAGGTACATCTGCGATTGTCGGAAGGCAATAAAAAAAAATACAAAAACATATGTAAGATGAACCCTATCCATGCTAGCAGCCACACTCCTCAACACCAGCAGCCCACCGTGCATATATATCATGTATGCAGATTCTATACTCAAATCAATGCTGAAGTAAGTCCTAAAAGCTACATTTCCTGCTGCTTAGCTGATGATTCATGATCATGAATAATAAACGCCGAGGAAAGCCCAGCACAAACTGGGCAAGGCGATTAACAAGATACAACTTGAAAAGTTCATGGAGTCTCTGGAGCACCTCCCCCAGGAGGCGGTACCACCCACGCGGGACAACCCCTACGGAGGTCAAGAGGCCAGGAACATGGCATACGCACGAACGAGAAGCTCGCAAGGGCAAGGGGGGCACGCGTTCCTGAGAGCGGCTCCCACCGACCGAGCTCGAGAGATTCCATCGAACGAATTCGTCTACGCGACGAGACGCGCCTTGGGAGTTGAAGAATTCTTGGCGGAAAGATGTCCCAGGTNGTCTACTCCTCGATGTCACACACGCAGACCCGCAAGCACAGGTACACTTGCGGAACGGCAGCGCGACCAGCGATGGAATCGCAGCCCAAGCATCCGAGGCGCGAAAGCGTCAGCACTACGCTCGTCCGGGACACGTGTCCTTTGACGAACGCAGCTTTAAACTTACCTCCTTAGCCGTGGAAAGCTTTGGCCGCCTTGGAGAGGAGGGTTACGAGTTCATCGATGAACTTGCGACACATGCCGTGGGAGGAAGGGACGGAGGAACGATGGCTCTGAAAGGAGTCTTCAAGGAACGACTTCTTCAAATCGTTTCGGTGGCTACACAGGTGGCCATATCTCGGCGAGTGCAGAGGTACAAGCTCGCATTGCGCGGGCGTCAAGACGCCGAAAACAGGCGAACAAGATCGACCTCGGACCAGTCAACGCCAATGATATGGGGATGGAGTGTAGACGCATCGTAGAACGCGTTTTCGTTTGAAGTTGACGTCTTGTTTGAGAGTAGATGTGACAGATTTGCGTAGAATAGGGTAAGATGTTATCATGAACGGAGATGAAAGGGCTTTTCCAACACGGAGATGTAGCATGGATCAAAGCATTTGTTGGATTTCAGCTTTTACAAGCGGACATCAACGCAGTAGTATTTTAGCAAGCTTACGAACGCATATAGGATACCATCAGGATTGTCATTGGTAAGTTGAAGAGGAGATACTTTTACGATGTAAATGACAGTAGAAATAAGTCCTACATATGTTGTTGTACTTCGTATTGGTTTAATATTCATGTAGAGTATGAGACATTAAGTGAAAGTTTTCTGAGGTACATCTGCAATTGTCGGAAGGCAAAAATAAATAAATAAAATACTTAATAGAAGATTTGACTCTTCACAAAACATCCAAAAGGAGGGTGAGTTGTAGAAATACCGAATCAGCCCACCACACCACCATCATTGCGACGAAGAATGCGAACGGTCACAAGACGGAACATCGACATCTCAATGACATTCTTGAAGGGATAGAGCTACGAAGAATATATATTGCTGCAGAGCACGCTATCATCCTGAACAGACAACGACAGAGGAACCAAAATCAATGTCCAGACGCCAGACACCACTCTTTTACGCGTCAAGTGCCGTTGTACATCAACAACACGGCCACCCTTCACGTCATCGGGAATTAAGCCTACAGTTAGTTCCCGTACGAAACACATCGCCTTACGTTTCTGCTATGTTCGAGAGCTGGTCAAGGAAGGCGCAATCACCATCGACTACGTTTCTACGGATCATCAACTCGCCGACATCGGAACCGAATTCCTGAGCAAGCATCGCCTTCGTCTTCTACTCGACCTCATCAAGAATTTCGGGGAGTAGCTAATGACTCCTGAATCACGGTATGATCTATCAGTTTTAATATTGTATATTTGTGTACACTCATTTCACCAGATAGATATTGCTGGCAGTTATTTTTCGCAACGGTCATCAAATTTCGCAGGTTATCGCAGATTTGAAGGGGAGTGTTATGGAAATGCCTACGCATCTCCTGTCTTAGTCAATGTTCAGTACTACTGCTTATGTAGACGAATGACGTATGTGTTACCTATGTGTCGGTTGGAACGTAACACGTATGCGAAGGAACTAAGAGCTGCACGTAGTCTGTAGCTCGTTCTGTCGTTCGGTGCACGACCTCACTCTTTGGGATCTCTCTGTGATCTATTGGACTGTCTGTCTGGGTACTTTAGCTGTCCTTGTACCTTGGATGCTGCTGGCATACTGCCTGGACTACAACCGTCTGTAGGGTGTATCTGTCTGTGTTGGCCATACAAGCGCCGTGTTTACAACATCTCGCCATCATTTCTGCACTGAATGAAGTACTGCTGTGCTTCTGCTGCTACAAGCTCCACGAGCTATCACACCGACTAGCTTTGGTGGGCGTCAGCTTGTACTGCTACGTGCTGGGGTACACACACAATCCCCATGATCAAAGCAACACGGTGACAAGTAGAAGAGGAGTGGCGGGGGATCAAGGGTACGCACTGCAGGAAGTACCACATCAGTTGGCGTCCTTGTATCTCAATCGCACACACAACTGCCATCACATGTAATAGTGTGTGCCCTTGGCCGGCCATGACCTTCCTGCCCGACAGTAATAGCAGGCGCCCACCCTGAAGAACCTCTAGTTTCGGTCGAGGCTGTGTTTTCGAACTGTACCTAGGGCTATGCTGCGAATGGACACACTGAGGGATCTGTGTAAGGAGTGAGCCAACGACCGAGCTCACCGATATATTATGCTCAAGTTCTTACGTGTGCATACCGTATATGACACAAGATAACAAACCCCCTGGACCGATTTTCAAAGCTCGATTACTCCACTGCCGGAACAGTCACAGCGCCGGAAACGGCGGTTACTCCACGACGAAGAGAATGCATAATCGAAACGATACAGTATCGAAAAGCTCTCGACGGGACGGTTTCAACGCCGCCGTTTCCGGCGCTGTGACTGTTACAGCAGTGGAGTAATCGAGCTTCGAAAATCGGTCAAGGGGGTGTGTTATCTTGTGTCATATACGGTAGATAGGTTGCGAGGTTTCCGAGGCTCAATTCCTTAATTGCAATTTTTTTTTTGTGCGGGCGCGAACTACAGCACCAGTCAGTCCTGCGCCCAGCACCAGAATGAGGAACAAATGGATCCCATGTATATCCGTGGCCGCCGATGACCTGCCTGCTAGAAGGCAGCAAAATGCAGCCACACTGTTCTGCGCCCACGAAACGAAATACGAAGTACAATGTAACGAAACAAAAAGAACAATATCGCGGGCATCCAACACGTTCGGGCGTAATGTCGGAAGATGGAACGTATAGACCATGCCATCGTTTTCCCCACACTTCAGGTCGAAGGCTTCCTTCACAGGCACGTCGAGGAGCACTAACACCTCACTGGGCACAACGCCGGTAGTAATGTCACGACCAAGCTTCTTCTAAAAAAGCAATGAAACACTCCATGTAGTTAGTCTACTCTCTGCGGCGCTATCAAGCCTCCCCCCAAAAGCCTTCGGCCTGCCGCCAGCCCTGTTTGTGATGTGGTGCGGCGAACGACTCTCCCCCTGCCCGACGTATTAGGTGCACTACACAAAGGCGGTTGTTCTAACGCTGCTGTGGGAAGCACGCTCTCCCTCTCTCTCTCGCAAAACACAACAGGCACAGGAGGCGTGCGCCGCACTTCGACACAGCCGCGAATATACCCAAAAAAATAGATAAATGTATTCTACTTTGACACTTGCGACCACCCCACGCGCTCACCGCAACGCGACTCATCTACCAGCCCGCAGGGGACAGCGAAAACAGCAAAAAAAAGAAGGTACACGCAACTTGCAAGGGTGCAAGCGACAACAAGTGAAACTGCTTGATTCCGAGCAACTAACGGGTACTTGTGGCTGCGCGCACAAAAAATACCATCATCGACGGCTAATCGTTCCTTTTTGCAGTACGTCGCCAACGGTGGCTCAACAACGTTTTCCCTAACCTCTAAGGTGCGACTGGGGGCGTGTAGTTATAGCCGTGCACCCGGAGTCGGTACACCATTGACCTCGCATTCCCCGGAGCCGAGACGGAGCACGCCGGGTTGTCACCGAACCTGGTGCGCCTGGGCGGGGGATGCGAAAACTGTCACTCACCATGTACCCCGCTTTCCTTTTAGGGGATATCGGTCGTTCCATCCAAGCCCGAAAACCGCACAGCGTCGAAGCAAGCGTTTCAGACTCCACCACAAGGTGGTCGGCTGGCAGTGGAGAGGGGCCACGGGGGGTCGAACACTCAAAACCTCTGCTACATTATGTTTTCCTACTAATCGCACATCCCTCAATAACCCTCCCTTTCCTGCCCACCCCCTTACCCCTAACCATAGTTCGTACACATGCTAAACGGAAACAAACCGGCCGAGTATTGTACATGAACAAAGTCAAAGCGGACTTTAGGGTAAACGCAACGCGGGATCGAAAAACGTGAGCCATGCTACCAAGAGGGGGCGAGGAGCGGCCGTCCAACATGAAGCTAGCCACCGGGACGAACCACCTCATGCATTCTATCGAGAGCCTAAGGAACGCGCCTGTCCAACGTGAACCAAGCAAGCCAA